TAAAAATAATGAGTGGGGCTGGAATAGGAGAAACAACCTTATATTTGACAAAGTTGGCTTTTAATACATACACAAAAAAGGTAGCATATAAAAGAGGAGAATAACAAGAACTTTCATATCACATATTTTATATGCATATTATCCATTTAGTACTAAATTAATAAAAAAAACTCTTAGCAATATAAACATTAAAACAATTAGTGAAACCTTTATCCTTTTAGGTAAAAAAAACACAATAAAACATTTATTTTAACAATCCTTTCTTAAGCCAGCTATAATCATTTTTATTGTGGCTCAGACCACTTATTAAAAGCAACTCATAGATAAACAAGCTTGTCAATACAGTAAATTATACTTTACAAATTTCAAAACTCAATTTCCACATACCTTATTTTATTGACTATTAATTTATAAAGATTTAATTCAGTATTTAAGCTGGTTTCATCTCCAAACATGGAAAGAATTCCAAAATATACTTGCTCACCAGTTTTAACTTTGAAGGGTCTACAACCTTCACAATAGCAATGGTTTTCTCTTTCTCCTTCATCGTTTTCTTTTCCTTTAACTTGCAAACAATAACCAGAGAGGTGTGTCCTAAGGTGAACTTTGGCTCTTCTTTGGACTTTAAGACTAATCTGGTCTAGATTGTGATTGACAAAAGCTTGCTCACTGATGTTATTCAGTCTTTTCAAGTTCTAGCTAAGCACCAGGGGTTGTTAATATTTACTCTGTCCTCATCTCTGGAATGGTCTTGAACTATAAGAGTTTACTTAGATTGCCAAATGCCACCAGCATTTACAGATACCTGATTGAAAAATACCGATATATGTCGAAAGAAATGAATTATTATACACAACCTCATCTCTGAAATAAAGGGTTAGACTAAGACCAATGGGTGGGAATTATAGAGACAGATCTAAACTTAGAGGCTAAACAATCATTCAGCTGCAGTCTGAAAGAAGATCAAACCTGCCTACTGTCCCTTCATATCCCCCCCAAGTCTACATTTCCATGTAATAGCTATGTTTTTGCATATGTTGACATGACAGATAGGGTAGGACCATCGTATTTGGTCTCTTACAAGATTGGATTCAAGCTATGAGTCCGCTATTCACTTAATATATAAACCTCAACAAGTAACTAAAATTTTTTCTAAGCCTCTTTCCTCATTTGTAAAAAAGTTTCCTGTGAAGTTTACATGCAATGTTTCAGAAAAAGTGCTTTGTAAAAATCTTACTTGTTAGTATTGAATACAGAGTAGGCATTATTGTTGTTCTTGTAGCTGCTGCCTTTTATCTATCAAATGAATTCCTAAGTAGAATTTTTCATGGGAACAATGATTACTGTACCATGGGCACATTTTACAATAATTTATTTAATGTGCTGAGCACTTTGGTTATGCCAGACACTGTGTTAGATGCTGAGTAAAATAATCAACAAGTCTCTGCTTTAGGACAGGACATGGTGACTAAGAAAAAAATATATGATTCTGGAAATCTCTGATTCTGATTAAGGCAAACAGTAGATGTGGGCATCGGAGTAATCCTGAGACAGGTGGAAAACCTTGAATTTGGAGATAAAGGTTTTATTTTTGTTGTAGTTCATGATCAACCAAAAGCAGATTTTCAAAAGGAACTAAAGCTTCTATAGGCATGTGAAGTCTGACTTGTATTGCAAGCAGTAAAATATATGAATGTAACACACAGGAAGTAGATCTGAGCCTGAAGATGGGTTGATTATCACCCATAAAATATGTGCAGACATATGAAAAAAGCTAGCTGAAGACTGAACATTGGAACACATAGCATTTAGACATCTGTTAAAGGAGAAAAAATGAGTGGGATGCGTGGGAAAATAAAAGATAATATGATACCTGCGCAGCATCTCAGGTAATATTTCAAGAAAGGAGTAATCATCCATATCAAATGCCACTGAAAAGCCAAGTCAAATGAGGATGGAGAATTTACTAGTGGTGTTTGAATTCATTGGTTTTAAAAGCCCTTTTAGGTTGGGTGATGGTGGCTCATACCTGTTATTCTAGCTACCTAGAAGGCTGAGAATGAGACGGTCAACGTTTGAGGCCAATCCAGGCAGAAATGTATACAAGACTCTATATCAAACACAGTCAGCAAAAACAGGGCTGGAGGCGTGATTTAAATGGTAGAGAACAAAAAAGCCAAACCAGTAATGAAGTAACGAGCTAATCATTAGAGTAATGAACTTAAAAAACTTTTATTTTGCTTTCTTATAAGCTAGTGGATGTCTAAAATGAAAAACTAAGTTATCTAGAAACAAATGTGTGTATATATATACACATATATGTGTATACAAGTTTTGAAATAAATAAAGGCAGTACAGAAGGAAAAGGAGGAAAATTGTGAAAGGATTATCACATATCATATTACTTAGGGTTTTTAGATGGTATGAGCCAATAAATTCCTTACCTGATTAATTAGTTTGTACCACCAGTGAACCAAAGTTCACTAGCTAGGACACTTACTAAAATCATCCCTCTGAATCAAACAAGTGTTTATTTTTGCCTCCATGAGCTATAAAAATCCTCTGTTTGCTATTCCTATTTTTCCAGCTCTTCTTATACATTCTTTTTTCTCACTTCTTGACTTGTATTGTTCCCTTCACTTGATGCAATCTTGAGAATATTTCATGATGAGATTTGAAACATTCTCTTCCTAAACATATCCTCCAATTTTCAATTTAACATGATTTCTCCTTAATATGAGCTCCAAAACAACTCTCTAACATTTAAAATATATGCTTAAAATATGTACATTAGCCTTCTAGCATATAAATTTAAACCATCTCACTGATCAGCATTTTAATTGCTCTTGTCATGCAGAAATAAGAAACAACACAAAACCAGTTAGATGATTTGCTAGGTTTAGACTTAACCCTAATACCCATACCCACACCATCTCCCTCCCTACTTGTAAAGTTTTCCAAAAGTAATGCCCTGTCTCACTCAAATGACCATTAATACAGATTTGCTAATAGTATATATTTTATAAAAGGACCTTCTGTAAAAACAAATTTCCCCAGAGTCATTGCCATGTATTTGTACTGAGTAGGCTTTTCTACAAAGCCTTTAACAAATAAGTAAGGTAGCAAGGAGTGGCAAAAAATGCTCAGTTAGTCAGAAGCTGGAGATCCCAAGGATTAGGGTTTCAGACCAACACAGGCCAAAAAGAAAAAGAAAAATGTTAAGGAGACTCCACCACAACAAACAAGCAGGGCCTGTTGGTTCAAGCTTGTGATCTCAGCTATGTGGACAGCAGAAGTGGGAGGATTAAAAGTTGAGGATGATTTGGGGCAAAAGCAAGACCCTACCTGGCAAAGCAAAAGGTCTGAAGGCATAGCTCAAGTGGTAGAGTACTTGATTAGCAACCAAAAGTGCCTAATTTAAAACCACAGTACTGGCATGCATGTATGTGCACGCACACACACACACACACACACCACAGACACACACACACACACACAAAGTAGATAAAATTTGACAAATAATGTTAATATTTCAATTAGACAAAGACTGCTTCAATATATCATTTCAATGAAGTAAGTACCACATGCAAGGAAGACAAGATGGCAGGAAATTAATATCATTCCCTCAAACATAGGAGTTAAATACTAGTGAAGAAAATATTATCTTCACGCTGTGATATTAGACAAGAAGAAATTAGCGTTGATAAAATATTAATGTAGAGAATTGCTTTTTATGTAACTATGCCATTTGAAATTAGAAGAAGAAAGGGAAGAAGGAGTTGCCACCTCATTCTTATATTAGTCATACAAACCATGGGGGAAGGAGAGAGCAGGAGAAGGGTCATTGTAACACTTTGACATATACTTATAATGTGCCTTCATCAAACTTACTCTTCTATCACTCAGTTGTAAAACAATTTCAAGTTTCATTATTTGATTTTTCTCACATGCAAATCAACTACTTAGATCATATTCATACTGGTTTTTCCTTCCCCCTTCCTGCTGCTACCAGAACTGAGGGCATTAAATTTAAGGCATTCATCTTAGTACAGTCTAGCCAACTATGAACTAATGAACCCATCTGTCTCAAATATTTAAAATAAAGTCTTTCCTTAAATACAAACTTAAAGAAGCAATTCAATTCACATATTTCATAGGTTTATGTTCTTTATAAGGTCTTCACCCCACAAACAAGCCAACGCTAACCATGTAATATGTGGAAAGAAGATGTACGCCTTTTAAGAATATTTTCTTTGGTCAACACATGAACAATGAGAAAGCAACAGTGATCAAACAGGAAATACGATACCACTCCTTTATTGAATAGTATTCTAGGAATTTGTGTTCATTTCAACCCAGAAGACTTTCCATATCCTTTAAAGTAGGATGTGTCCTATTGTAATCCTTTCCACTCATCCTTAAACCCTGGTTCTTGTCTCAGAGATAAATTTATATGGTTTAGTGTTATTAACATTTCTGTGCTCTTCAAAGATACAGCCTCTGAATTTTGTACCTCCTAATAATGGTGAAATAATCGAAGCTGAGTCACAACCTCATGAAGCTGTTTGAATACACACAATGCTATAAATAGGAATATGAAGAAGACTGAATTGCTCCTAGAAAATACTATTGAAAATTAGACATATAATTGGTTGTATGTTCATAAAGATTAGACAGAGACACAGAGAGATGATAGACAGTTAGTTAGATGATAGATGACTGATATACATATGATACACACATACCTGCATGCATACATATGCATGCATACATACACACCTACATATAGATAAATAATCTTATAATATTCTTAGTTATACTGTTTGATTTTTTGACATCAACAAAAAGCATTTCCCAATATTTACCTATTATTTCATGTCTGTTTCAAAAGTGCAGTATAAATTACCATTTACTAATCAAATGAAAGTTCTTTATTTTAATCAGTAGATTCTAATATTCATTTTAAGTTTACTGACTTCCTTGGGTGTAGAAACACTTACTGTTCTTTGCATTAGCAGAGAAGAGTTTGTTCCTTTCTCTTCAAAATTTGATTCCATGCCGATTATATCCTCAATAACATCCTCCACCTACAAAATATAATATATTTAGAAGATTGTAAATAATGGTTAAAGAGGAGCTTCAGACTGAGATTACAAAGGGCAATCCTAGAAAACTCGAAAAGTTGTTTTGGCTATTTAAATCTTTTTTTTTTGGTTATGTATATCAAAGCCTAGAATATTTCATCACTAAAAGTGAGATCATCTTGAAACTGTTCTGTTGCTGTTTGTTGCATTTGCTTCCAGATGATAGCTGGGCTACACCCTTGGAAAGAGGGACCTACACAAATATACAACTTTCCAGGAAATATTTCATGCCAGAGCCAACAGATCTAGGATGTAGAGGGGAGACTCCTTAAAAATCAGTAATAAAAAAAATTCAATTGACTTTTTTTTTCTTGATCAGTTGTGGAGCCTGAACTCTGGGCCTGGGCACTGTTCCTCAGCTCTTCAGCTCAAGGCTAGCACTCTACCACTTGACCCACAGCACCACTTCTGGCTTTTTCTGCTTATGTAGTGCTGAGGAATCAAACCCAGGGCCTCAAGCATGCAAGGCAAGCACTCTACCACTGAGCCACCTTCCCAGCCTTCAATTGACTCTTACACGTAGATATCTAAATGCCATCGGTTAGATTATAGTTGACAAAAATTTAAAACTGGCGAATATTATGAAAGCTTATTAGTTTCATTTATTTATTATGCTGGTACCAGGGCTTGAACTTAGGACCTCGCACTTGCTAGGCAAGCACTGTGCCACTTAAACCACACACTCTAGGCCCTGAAGAAGATCTTGAGATTTCATTAATATTATTTTCTAAGAAAAATCATTGGCCAACTTGAATCAAATGTTGAGACACCACTACTAAAACATTTCCCAATGCTAGGTACTGATGGCTCATGCCTGTAATCCTAGCTACACAGGAGGCTGAAAAATGAGGATCACAGTTCAAAGCCACCCAGGCAAGAAAGTCTGTGAGACTCTTATTTCTAATTAACCACCAGAAAACTAGAAGTGGCACTGTGGCTCAAGTGATAGAGTGCTTGCCTTGAGACAAAGAGCTCAGAGACAACAACCCAGGCACAGAGTTCAAGCCCCAGGATAGGCAAAAAAAAAAAAAAAATCCCAAAGATGATTTGTACATAAATCAAAATGCTACTAATATAAATTCCTGCCTCATGAAGCTCAAATTCTACTAAGGAAATAGACCACAGACAGTAGAACCCAAGGACAAGGCTCATAGAACTTATGACTTCCATATTCACCAAATATACCCACTGATTATATTATTGGCCAGAAGTTAATATGAAAATTTAGATATATAGATAGGAATAAGATACAGTGTTTTCATCGAGTAATTAACAAGCTAAAGAGCAAAAGAAAAACTTATTTAATTCAACATTTGAAATGTAACATATGCCATGAAAATGTCATTATATGTCTGTTATCAATGTGATATAAGTACTGATATAAATCTCAGAAATTATCACTTAATTCAGACAGTCACAAGGGAAAATAGTTTAGGGGTTAAATTAAAATATATATGTACATATATATGTGTGTGTGTGTATATATATATATATATCGTTTATCCATGTTAAAAAAAAACTTTGTGATAAGGTCATTTTCTGGATTTTATCTAAATTGATTGGTATAGTCATATGCTTTGAGATTCAGAATTTTTCCCTTAAAAACTGATCTTCCAAACAAGAAAATGAACTTTGAAAGTGGTGGTTATGAGTCATATTGGCTATAATTCTAATATTTACTGTGGAGATGAAAATCATATCACATATTTACTGTGGAGATGATTTTCATCCTACATATCTTTTATGCTCCTCACTGAGTGAATAGAAATGCTGGTTCTATATCCCAGTTTTTGAAAGATCTTTATATCTACTATTGAAAAGTTTAAGTAAATGTACAAGTAGGAATCTACATTTTGTTTAGATTTCTGAGAGTCCTACTGTATGATTGTTTTCTTCTATCATTTGGTTTCAAATAATAGGATTCTGAGCACTACTCAAATGGAAAATAGAGACAGTATAGTTTGTCTAAACATGAATATCACATCTTTTTCCAGATTCTTGTTGTTTCGTGACACTATTAATACATCAGTATTTTTGAAGGTTTACTGAAATACAAGTCACAATAAAAATAAACTAAGTAAATATCAACATTCTAACTGATTTAGTATTCTCTGTCCATTAATTGCCTGTGTTTTACTAGATCATAGGTAAGAATTTGAAGATAGAAATCAATACATATAAAGACCCAGGGATGTAGCTCATGATTTCCCTAACATAGACAAGGCCCTGAATTTCAGCCCCACCATGGTCAAAATAAATTAATGAAATGAAATCAAGCACTAAAAAAAAAAAAGATTCTGAAAAAATTCATGAAACATTAAGTGCAATAAGATGGTTCATTTTATTCTAATGAATATTTTAGAACACAAAAGTGTTGTTATTTAAATAATTTCCACCAGTTTTGTGCTTAAGATACTAAAATTATGGATAAGTTCTCCAATTACCAAAGTTATTCAGAAAACCTGTACAATTAGAATTTAAATTTGTAAACAGATATTACTGTTAGTGCAGTACTGTTTGATAGGACTGTGGTTTGACCTTGCTTGCTTGGCTGGCAGTCTATCCCATGAGCTACACTTCCAGCCCAATTTTATGCTGATTAGTTTGAAGATAAGGCTTCACTAACTTTTCTGCTAGGCTCACCTAGAACCATGCTTCTTCCACTCTTGGCTTCCTGAGTAAATGGGATTATAGGCATGAGCCACCAGCACACCGCTGTTAGTGCTTATTTTGATTGTCACTGATACTTAATTGAAGAGTGTATTGAAGAATGAATTATAACGTATTATTCATAACAAGGTGATATGGTTAATTCGTTAAAACGTTCCTTTTGTTAACATATATTTGAGATGATCACTGTAAAACGGTTTTACAGTGAACATCGACTTCCATTTGGGGGTTTGTTTTGTTTTGTTCTGTTCTGTTTTAAAGCTAGAGCTTTAGAACCAGCAATTAGACTTACACGCCATTCCACACTGCCATTGTCTTTCCCCAGAGTTAGTAATTTGGTGAGTGGAGTTCCTGTGAGGCCAGCGTCTCTATCTGGGCTTGGGTGTCCATACTGTGTCCAAAGCACACAGCTTGTTGAAGGAGAGTGGGATCGTCTGAGTGTCTGGCTGATGATCTGGTGGTCAAGGGTCATAAAGGGCGGTCCTTGCGGTAGCTGGGTCTTCTGCAGTTGAGGCTTTGTGGAACTTTCCAAGTGTGCTGGGACCTACAAAATCAGAACCAGCAAATTGAAGAATCATCGAGTCTATCATTCTCCTTCCAGAACTTGAATTACCTCCATAACCCCATAGTAATGTCTACATTTTTTCACATTAATATCTATGTTTCTGTTGTTATGTGCAATTTTAATGGGTTTTAGTTTTAGGAAGAAAAAGGCTATTAAATCTTCGATTTTATCCAGCTTGTAAGAGCAAATTAGAAAATAATATATAAGCAACAACAATATCTTGAGAGTCCTAGAAAAGGAAAGCTTCAAACAAGGAAAATGTAGTGAAATCAATAATTTGAGTGCAATTGATATCATATATATTCCTTAGGTTCCATTAAATTACATTTAAATATTTTGTGAAACATAAAAACTTATCAAGAATATTAAAAATTACTATCATATACTATTATATGTAAGGATTATAGCATATTATATAAATATATCATGTACAAATAATATAATATATTATATTATAAAGATTATATACTAGATGTTAACTCTGATGTACTATGTGTGACAGTGTGCTATGACAAATCTAGCTAGTTTTTTTTTCAACTTTTCAGTATTTTCCCAAATTTCCATACTAAGTCCAGTTTTATATTGTAAAAAGGTTATTTTACTCTTCCCTATAGTATGCATTGTAGCTATAAATTGGTATAAGTTTGAGATTTTTTTTTGGGGGGGGGTCCAGTCGTGGGGCCTGAACTCTGGGCCTGGACGCTGTCCCTCAGCTCTTCAGCTCAAGGCTAGCGCTCTACCACTTGAGCCACAGAGCCACTTCCGGCTTTTTTTTCTTTTTTGCTTATGTGGTGCTGAGGAATTGAACCCAGGGCCTCTGGCATGCAAGGCAAGCGCTGTACCACTGAGCCACCTTCCCAGCCCAAGTTTGAGATTTTTATTGTAAAGGTGATATACAAACAGGTTACAGTTACATAAGTCAGGTAAAGAGTACATTCTTTTTGAACAATGTCCCTCATTCCTTCCTTCTTTCCCAGTTTTTCCCTTCCCGACTTCCCTTCCTTCCCCCCAAGTTGAATAGTTTACTGCTGAACTGGTTCACCCTTTGTCTCACCCTTTCTGTGTCTCCCCTTCCCTTCCCCAAATCAGATAAACTTATATATAAGACATCGCGGAGTTTTTTTATTGTGGATTGACAGATGGAAATATTCAGAAGAAATTCCTTTGGCATTGACAAGTAAACAGCTGTGAATATCTTCAACAAAACATACCTTTAAATTCTGAGCAACTTCGGTCTAGCTATCATGGTTATTGTTAACCCATTATTTGTAAAAGGGCAATGTTCAGCATCTCAAGCTTTCCCTTTAAAAACTTATGAATCCAGTATTGCCTGCCAGTTGACTTTTTATTTACTAAGCTGTGATGTAGCTTCTAATACATTTTCCTCAAGTGGCCCATATATAAACCTACTTAATATTTCCCTCATGTTAAACAATAGCAAAGATTGCTGTACAGTGCTTATTTTTCTTTTTATTTCAGTTACACAAACTACTCCTTAAATCCCTTAACATACATTAGCTCAGATAAATAGCCCTTACAAAGTATTTTGCATTTAAATTAGCTGGTTTAGGGTACAATATTGTAGTAGTTACTTTAGTTTAATTCTGTTACGCTGACATTTTCAGCATTATTTTAATTGTACTACCATAAAATAATTTTTCAGTCATATAAAAAAGATTAAGATTGGTAATAAAGATTACACATATTACTAATTATATTGCTGTGAGCTTTAAAGTTGTAAAATAACATTTCATTAAATTGCTGCTGGTAATTTCTTAAGGGTAGCTATTTAGATTATCCTACAGTTTTAAGTTAATCCCTCTAAATCTGTGTACATTTACAAAACATACATTATAAATACCATTTTCAGTTTCACAAGTGTAGTGATCTTGCAGTATGAAACTCTGCACTAAAGCACAATGTATACTGACAAACAAAATATCTCAGATCTGAAGGAAAGCATGCTGAATCAGAATTTATAATATTCATATCTAATTCATTTTTCACTCTTCATCCATTAACTTCTATAAGCATCTATTATTAGAGCATTTACTCAAGTGTTATATCAAGAGTTCAAGAGAAGTTAGAGATATGATCCCTGAGTTCTAAGAGTTTATAACCTATTACGTAGTATTACTATCAATCACTCTAGCAATACAGGCAACCACAACAGTATGAATTATGACAAATTTGCATATGCCTTTTTGTTTAATCTTTAAGCATAGGACATCATATATGGTCATCAAAAAAAATTAAAGAGCTTATTTAAAAGATAAAGCACAATCTGAAGACACAGAATCACAATCAGAATCCATTTATGGCAAGCAAATTTAGACTCATCAGACTGGATTAAAACAACTGTAGTTACTCTGCCACAGGTGTGTATGAATATATGAATAGCTCACATAAAAGAAGGGCAATAGAAACATTTAAGAATAAAAACAAGATGTACTAGAAATCAAATTATTGCTACAGCAATGAGGAACTTCTTTCATATTTATTAGTAGACAGGACTAAGGAATGACTACCTCAATCGAAAGACTCCTTAATAGAAAGGTTAAAAAAAATACAAGGAAAAATAAAAGATTATTATGCCGAGAATATTCAAGTACTGCGGAATAACTACACATTTACATAATGAAAATACCGGAGGATTACAAAGCAAGAAAAAAAGTAACATTTGAAATAGTAATTACAATTTTTCAAAACAATTATCAGACATCAAACCATGGATCTAGAAACCTCAAAAAAGTATAACAAGAAAAGGGAGGAAAGGAAAAGAAACAAAAAAAGAAAGGAAGAAAGAAGCAAATATCCATGCCCAGTGATAATCATATTCAAACTACAAAAAGTCAAAGAAAACTATCATTTCACCTGCAAAAGAGCCAAGATAAGAATTGTCTGACTTTTTCTCAGAAAACATGCAACTAGGAAGGAAATGAAATGAAATGCTTAAAAATCTGAAGAAGTAAAAATGACCTTCATTTAGAATATTGTACTCTGTAAAAATTTTTGCCAAAAGTGAACTATTAGGATATTTTTAATGTTTTAAATATTTTTATCACTCAACTCACCATGCAAATAAATGTTCAAAGAAGTTCTTTAACGTAATAGTACATACTGATTTTTAAAAACTCAGACCTACATAAAGAAAAGCATTAAAGAATGAATAAGAGAAGGTAAAATAACTTTTTAAATTTTTCTTAGTTTTAATTGATACAGCATAACATTTTGTTTTAGAACCATAACAATATGATAGTAATTATTATTGTTTATATTGGCATACATAAATTTATGCTTATCTATATATAGTATGTTTAATACATATACATAAACTTATGTGTATACACATACATACATGTACACACACACACACACACACATATAGGCTTGTGTATGCCCATGAATAAGTAAATGTAAGCAATTTGATACAGGAACAAGAGGAAGAACTTGGGATTATTTTGTTATTAAAAGGCATTTGCATTACCTATAAATCAAAATAATGACACTTAACAGTGATTTGATAGTAGCTGTCAAAAATGAGCCCAGTTACATACTTTACAACCTTCACAAAAATTAACTCAAAATACATCACAGACTTATATGAAAAATATAAAACCTCCTAGAAATTAACATAGGAGAATATCTAGATGAGTTCATTCATGCTGCCAATTTCCTAGATACAAAAAAAATGTGATAAGCTGGATTTCTTTAAAATTAAATTTTCCTGCCTGGTACTATGAAGACAATAAAAAGCCACATCAGGCAAAAATATTTGCAAAAGACATACAGAGTAATGAAATATTCAACCTATTAAAAAGAAAGTGACGTTCAACAATACAAAGAAAATAACATCACTGAAAAATTAGCCAAAGACCTTACAGATATCAGATCAGGAAATATATCCAGTTGACAAATAAGCACACAAAAAGATGCTCCACATCATATGTCATCATGAAAACGAACATTAAAGCAAGAGGATACTAATGTCAGAATACCAAAATCTAAAACATTAACATACACATAGCAATGTATATAGCAAGTATACATAGCAATGGAGATTTTTATTCATAGTTGGTAGTAATGGAAAACCATAGAGCCATTTTGGAAGCTAGTTTTGCAAAATCTTTCCTGACTCCTTTCTATTTGTTGCATGAAGGAGTTACATTACCTTCAGTAAAAAGTGGAAGCCTACGGTTACATTATACAAGGTATGAGCTTTTTTAAACTCGTGACAAGGGGCAGAAGAGAAGCTGTACTTGTTGAAAGCAAATCCTCACTTAAGCTTTCATAAGCCACAGAACTTAAAGCTGATCATCCCCAGCAGTCCTGTCTCTACCCAGTAGAGGCAGGACAATTTGCAGCTGAATTGTTTCCATATTCTGGATGTTCAATTACAGTACCACTGCAGGCAGATTTCTTAAACACATTTACCAATATCTTTGGGGGGGAAAAAAGATGCTTAGATCCATTAGGAGAACCAGAGGTAATATGCTTACTGAGCAAACCAAAGTACCTAAGAATAACTAGAATCACAGGGATTCCTTTAAGTCCAACAAGTTACAGGGAAATTTTATCAGGCAGAAGTAAAAAGGCATCTCCAATTTAAAGGCAACATTAGAGAATATCCCCTGGACTATAAAGTACATGCATCTGAGATTTCATTTTCTTTTCCATTTTTCTATTTCTGTTTTGAGAGTAATCAACACAGGAATTCTTGAGAGCCTGTGAATGGGAGGAAGTCATAAATGATTTCTGATAATAGCAGTTGAAGTGGCACTAAAAATGATTCTTAGGGTGTATGGGTTTTAAATTCTAGAGTCTAGATTACTCTTTGAGGGTGATAATACGATTCACAAAACATTTAGTTAGAAAGTAATTAAAAATCAAATAAATACTACCTAGTTACATACAGTATTTGCATTTGGACACAAAATCCCTTGGTAAGCAAAGAGCTATAGATCAATGCAGAACAGACA